TTTTCCCTACTTTTAGAGTGCCAACAGTCAGACAGGTTTTCCCTATATTAGAGATGACAACAGTCAGACAGGTTTTCCCTACTATTAGAGCTGACAACAGGCAGACAGTGTTTTTCCCTACTTTAAGTGACAACAGTCAGACATTGTTGCCATTCTTCCTAATTTAGAGCTGACACTAGGCCAGACAGTGTTTTCCTACTATTAGAGCTGACAAACAGTCAGACAGGGTTTTCCCTACGACGTAGAGCTGAAAACAGTCAGACAGTGTTTCCCCTACATTAGAGACTGACAACAGTCAGATACCGTGTGCCTACTATAGAGCTGGACAACAGTCGCCAGTGGTGTTTTCTCCTACTATTAGAGCGAAACAGTCAGACAGTTGTCTCCCTACTATTAGAGCGGACACAGTCAGACAGTGTTCTTCCCTACTATAGAGAGCTGACAACAGTCAGACAGTGTTTTGCCCATATGAGACGACAACAGTCAGCAGGGTTTACCTACAATTAGAGCTGACAACAGTTCAGGACAGTGTTTTCCCAATATTAGAGCTGAAAACAGTCAGACAGTGTTTTCCCCAACTATAGAGCTGACCACAACAGCCAGACAGTGTTTTCCCTATATTAGAGATTACAACAGCAGACCAGTGTTTTCCTACTATTAGAAGCGACACAACAGCCAGACAGTGTGTTTTACCTACTATTAGAGCGGACAACAGTCAGACAGTGTTTCCCTACTATAGGCGACAACAGTCAGCCAGCGTTTTCCCTACTATTAGAGATGCCAACAGTCAGACAGTGTTTTCCTACTATTAGAGTGACAAAGCAGTCAGACTGTTGTTTTTCCCTACTATAGAGCTGACACACAGTCATTGACAGTGTTTCCTACTATAGGCTGAAAACAGTAGACAGTGTTTTCCATACATTCGAGCTGCAACAGTCAGGACAGTGTTTTCCCTACTATAGAGCTGACGCAACAGCCCAGCAGTGTTTCCCTACTATTAGAGATGACAACAGTAGGACAGTGTTTTCCCTAATATTAGAGCTGAAACAGGTCGACAGTTGTTTTCCCTACTATTGAGCTGAAACAGCAGACAGTGTTTCCATTACTATTAGAGCTGACAACGTCAGACAGGTTTTCCCTACTATTCGAGCTCTACAAACAGTCAGACAGTGTTTCCTACTATTAGAGCCTGACAACAGTCAGACCGTGTGTTTAGACATTAGAGCTGACACAAACAGTCCAGACAGTGTTTCCCTTAATATTAGAGCTGAACACAGTCCGACGGGTTTTCCCTATATTTAGAGCTGACAACAGTCAGACCGTGTTTCCATACTATTAGAAGCTGACAACAGTCAGACAGTGTTTCCCTACTATTAGAGTGACAACACACAAAAGTCAGACAGTGTTGTCCCTACTATTAGAGCTGGACAACAGCAGACGTGTTTTCCCTACTATTAGAGCTGACACAACAGTCAGCAGTGTTGTCCCTACTATTAGGCCTGACAAAAACAGGTAGACAGTTGTTTTCCCTACTATTAGCGCGGACAACAGTCAGACCCCAAGTGTTTTCCCTACTAGTAGAGTGACCCACAACAGGGCAGACAGTGTTTTCCCTATATTAAGAGCTGACAACAGTCAGACAGTGTTTGTTTTCCCTACATTAGAACTGACAACAGTCAGGACAGTGGTCTTCCCTATTAGAGCTGACAACAGTCAGACAGTGTTTTCCTACTATTAAAGCTGACAACAGTCAGCAGTGTTTTTCCCTACTATTAAGCTGCAAACAGTCAGACAGTGTCTTTTCCCTACTATAGAGCTGACAACAGGCAGGGTTTTCCCTCCTATTAGGGAGCTGACAACAGCCTGACAGTGTTTTCCCTCCTTTTAGAGCTGACAACAGTCAGACCAGTTTTTCCCTACTATTAGAGGCTGACAACAGTCAGACAGGTGATTCCCTACTATAGAGCTGACAACACAGTCAGACAGTAGGTTTCCCTACTATTAGAGGATGACAACAGTCAGACAGTGTTTTCCCACTTTTAGAGCTGACAACAGTCAGACAGTTTACCTAATATTGAGCTTGACAACAGTTCAGACAAGTTGTTTCCCTACTCTTAGAGCTGACAACCAGTCAGACAGTTGTTTCCACTATTAGAGCTGACACCGTAGACGTGTTCTTCCATACTATTAGAGCTGCAACAGTCAGCCAGTGTTTTCCCACTAGAGAGGCTGACCAACAGTCAGACAGTGTTCACTACATTAGAGCTGCAAACAGTCAGCCCCAGTGTTTTTCCCTACTAATTAGGAGCTGACACAACAGTCAGCCAGGTGTTTTCCCTAATATTATAGCTGACAACAGCCAGACGGGTTTTCCCTACTATTAGAGCTGAAACAGTCAGCCAGTGTTTCCCTACTATTAGAGCTGACAACCAGAGTCAGCCGTGTTTCCCTACTATAGAAGCTGACAACAGTCAGCCCAGTGTTTTCCCTACATTAGAGCTGTAAACAGTCAGACAGTGTTTCCCTATTATAGAGCTGACAACAGTCGCCAGTGTTTCCATTAACTATTAGGCTGACAACAGTAGAAAGGGTTTTGCCTACTATGAGGCTGACAACAGTCGACAGGGTTTCCTACAATGAGAGCATGCAAACAGTCAGACATTGTGTTCCCAAATAGTAGATGACAACAGCTTCAGCACAGTGTTTTCCCAACATTAGAGCTGACACAACAGCAGACAGTGTTTTCCCTAATATTAGAGCTGACAACAGTCCAGACAGTGTTGTCCCTCTATAGAGATGACACAACAGCCAGACAGTGTTTTCACCACTATTAGAGCTGACAACAGTCAGACAGTGTTTTGCCCTTACTATTAGAGCTTCTTTGGTGACAACAGCAGCAAGTGTTCTTCCCTAGCTATTAGAGTGACAACAGTCAGGACAGGGTTTACCTAATATTAGAGCTGAAACAGTCAGACCGTGTTCCCTACTATTAGAGCTGACAACAGTCAGACAGTGTTTCACCTCATATTAGAGATGACAACATCAGACAGTGTTTTCCCTACTATTCGAGCTGACAACAGTCAGACAGTGTTTTCCCTACTATAGAAGCTGACGCAACGTCAGACAGTGTGGTCCCTACTATTTAGGAGCTGACAACAGTAAGGCAGTGTGTTCCCTATATTAGAGATGACAAAAGTCAGAAGGGTTTTCCCTTACTATTAGAGCTGACCAACCGTCAGACAGTGTTTTCCCTACTATAGAGCTGACAAACAGTCAGACAGTGTTTTCCTCTATTGAGTGACAACAGTTCGACAGTGTTTTCCCTACTTTTAGAGCTGACAAACAGTCGGCAGTGTTTTCCCTACTATTAGAAGCTGACAAACAGTCGTCAGACAGTGTTTTCCCTACTATTAAGCTGACAAACGTCAGACAGTGTTTCCCTACGATTAGAGCTGACAACAGTCAGACAGTGTTTTCCCTATATTAGAGCTGACAACACAGTCAGACAGTGTTTCACTACATTTAGAGCTACAACAGCAGCCAGTGTTTCCTACGATTAAGAAGCTTGCAACAGTCAGGACAGTGGTTTCCCTACATTGAGTGACACCATTACAGACAGTGGCTCCCTACTATAAGAGCTACAACAGTCAGACGTGCTTTGGACTAATTAGAGCTGAAAACAGTCCGACAGTGTTTCCCTACAATTAGAGCTGCAACAGTCAGACAAGTGTTTTCCCAAACTATAGAGGAGGCAAACAGTAGACAGTGTGTTCCCAACTATTAGAGCTGACACACAGCCAGGACAGTGTTTTCCTCTACTATTAGAGTGACAACAGTCAGACAGTGTTTTCCCCTACTATTAGAGCTGACAACAGTCAGCCAGTGTTTTCCCTTACTATTAGGAGCTGACAACAGTCAGACAGGGTGTGTCCCTAATATTAGAGGCGGACAAACAGTCAGACAGTGTTTTCCCTTACTATGAGAGCTGACAACAGTAAGACAGTGTTTCCCTCTATGAGAGCGACAACAGTCCAGACAGTGTTTTCCTACTATTAGAGCTGACAAAGTCAGAAGTGTTGTTTTTCCCTACCTATATTAGAGCTGACGCAAAGCCAGACAGTTGTGTTCCCTACTATTCGAGATGACCAACAGTCAGACAGGAGTTTTCCCTATATTAGAGCGGACAACAGCAGGACAGGTGTTCCCTACTATTAGAGCTGGACAAAGTCAGACAGTTGTTTGCCATACTATAGAGCGACAACAGTCAGACAAGTGTTTTCACGACTATTAGAGCTGACAACGTCAGACAGGGTTTTCCATAATATTAGAGCTGAAACAGTCAGACAGTGTTTTCCCTACTATTAGAGCTGACACAACAGTCAGACAGTGTTTTCCCTATATTAGAGCTGAAAACATCAGAACAGTGCTTTCCACTACTATTAGAAGCTGACAACGTCAGGACAGTGTTTCCCCCTATAGTCGAGCTGACACAACAGCAGACGTGTTTTCCCTATTATTAGCGGGGCTTTGACAACCGTCAGACAGTTGTTTTACTACATTAGAATCCTGACAACAGTAGACCGTGTTTTCCCTATTAGAGCTGAAACAGTCAGACAGTGTTCCCTACTATAAAGCGACAACAGTCAGACAGTGTGTTCCCTACTATTAAAGATGAAACAGTCAGTCAGACAGTGTTTCCCATTACTATAAGAGCTGACAACAGTCAGACAGTGTTTTCCCTACTATTAGACTGACAAAGTCAGACAGTTTTTTCCCCTACTATTAGAGCTACAACAGTCAGACAGTGTTTCCCTACTAATTAACTGAAACAGTCACAGTGTTTCCTACTTTTAATGACAACTCAGACAGTGTTTTTTCCCCTTTTAACTAAAAGTTGGGGTTTTCCTTAAAACTGACAACAGTCAGACAGTGTTTTCCCACATTACGGAGTTACAAGTCAGACCTAAACTACTAAACAAACAATGAGGACACCCGTATGCCTACCTGTCCTGCCACTCCTCCCCTGCGTCTCGTCCCTTCTTGTCCTCTCCAAACAGGTTGGTGGTCCTGGTCTGAGTCCATGGTGAACAGGTTGATGTTTCCCGCCCCGGGACCTCCCCTGAGGGCCGCCAGGGGGTTTCAGACCCCGGTACCCCAGACCATGGATGGTCCACTTTAGGGGTGAAGTCTATAGGGGTCACGTCTTTAGGAGCGAAGGTCAAATTCTCAGGGACGAACTCATCATCCTCGTCGTCCTGCGGTTTAACAGTAGGGAATGGATCAATCAATCACATTTATCTTTGCAATGATGGGTAGGGGGTAAATGTTAAGTCGCCTATTTAGGGGACATTCGTTATAATTTGATTGTTTTATCAAGGTATATCAAGGTAATTAGCTTATAAATAAAGTTCTGTAAGGCCAATTCGCTTCGTGATTGTTCTGGCTGACAGCCCCCCCGCTTCCCTGCTTCAATTCAGTTGGCCTCGGGTGACATATCCACAGCCATTGGAGGCTCGGGGGGGTCCCGCCTTAACACTAATATCGCTGCTAAGCTGAGAGCCTACTGCAGCGATAGGAAGTAGTTCCCTTTGTTCTACAACACACGTCCATTCATATCGAATGGAAAGGTAAAAAAAACATGTGAAATCACTGAGGGACAAAACTTTATATTAGATTAAAGCTGAGACTGATGAATCCGTAGAGTCGCCAGCCAACTCTGTGTTACGTTCACAGGGGAAGAGACAGCAACGAATTAAAGCAGTGCACCGGGAAATCAGTCGGCTTTTCCCTGACCGCTAGTTATATAGACAGTTACAACATTAATAATGCATCTGAAACCTTCTACGTTGTTCATAGCAAATTACATTTGAAAATGAAATCTAGGATGTAGTGTTTTCATACTATTTACTATAGCAGCGCATACTAGTGCAAAAAGTCCATACAAATCATAGATAAATAATTAATCAAATAAATACGAGCTTTCTAACAGAATAGGGCATTAGCAGGTACTGTTCATGGCCCTCTCATGAAGATATGTTTTACACAGCCATCCACCTAACATTAAACGTTCTTAATGTAGAGCTGGACTCTAGTTTTAAGAGCAGGTGACGAGATGCGAGACAATATGAATATTCTGAGGAACGGCTACCCGTGATTCTGATGAACCGTTGGGAGGCACGGCAGAGCCCAACACCCTTGTTGCAGGATCTGGAATAGAGAAAGAACCATTTTAGAATGATTTTATTCACAAGTAAAATCCTCCTTTGTGAGAGTAGAGTCCGTCTGTACTATAACACATATTAGGCTACAACATGGCTGCTTTGAAAAGTCGCTGGCAAGTGCAACCCACCTGCTTCCTGCTTGCACAGTCTCCTCTTCACCCTTGGCCCAACCCCCTGGCCATCCTTCCAGCCCATCCTCCTCAGTAGCTCCACCCCCATGGAGGACCTGCCAGGTGTAAACAAGGTCAGTCAGCCTAGCAGCAATATGAGGCAAACCGCAACTACATTTAGCTAGTTGAATACCAGGGGCTGTGTCAACGAGTCTCAAGAGTAGTACCGCTGATCTGGGATCAGTTAGGCCAATTGAGATCATAATGAATCATTCCCATGGACAGAGAGGACCTGATTCTAGAAAACCACTCCTACCGTTAAGACACTTGATACATACGGGGCCCAGAGTGACCACATCAAGTCTGTTCAGTTACCTAGCCGGAGCCACCAGGTCTTCCAGGACAGTGTCCCCGGGGATAGGGGCTGAAAGAGAGGTGATGGCTCTGGCCTTGTCCCCGATCAGATCCTTCCTGCCTGAGGCAAAGTCAGCCGTAGTGATGATCTGTCTGGGGGCGATGCCGTGCTCACCCAGGTCCTGAGGAGATAAAAACACGTGTTACATCCCATGTTGTACAATCATGTTGGTCCAGGAGGGAAATGGTTGCTGTCCTGAGAATGTTCTTCTTTACATTTACGTCATTTAGCAGACGCTCTTATCCAGAGCGACTTACATTATTCTTTTTTTTCTTTTTCTTTTTTCATACTGGCCCCCCATGGGAATCGAACCCACAACCCTGGCGTTGCAAACGCCATGCTCTACCAACTGAGCTATCTCCCTGCCGGCCATTCCCTCCCCTACCCTGGACGACGCTGGGCCAATTGTGCGCCGCCCCATTGGTCTCCCGGTTGCGGCCGGCTACAGCAGAGCCTGGATTCGAACCAGGATCTCTAGTGGCACAGCTAGCACTGCGATGCAGTGCCTTAGACCACTGCGCCACTCGTTGTGGTCTCTAGAATATATAATGTGTTCCCTTTCAGATTCCAGGTACCTCCTCATCCACGCTGTGGTCTCTAGAATATATAATGTGTTCCCTTTCAGATTCTAGGGACGTCCTCATCCACGCTGTGGTCTCTTGAATATATAATGTATTCTCTTTCAGATTCTAGGGACGTCCTCATCCACGCTGTGGTCTCTAGAATATATAATGTGTTCCCTTTCAGATTCTAGGGACCTCCTCATCCACGCTGTGGTCTCTAGAATATATAATGTGTTCCCTTTCAGATTCTAGGGACCTCCTCATCCACGCTGTGGTCTCTAGAATATATAATGTGTTCTTTTTCAGATTCTAGGGACGTCCTCATCCACGCTGTGGTCTCTAGAATATATAATGTGTTCCCTTTCAGATTCTAGGGACCTCCTCATCCACGCTGTGGTCTCTAGAATATATAATGTGTTCTTTTTCAGATTCTAGGGACTCCTCATCCACGCTGTGGTCTCTAGAATATATAATGTGTTCCCTTTCAGATTCCAGGTACCTCCTCATCCACGCTGTGGTCTCTAGAATATATAATGTGTTCCCTTTCAGATTCTAGGGACCTCCTCATCCATGACATGAAAGGGAAATAGTTAGCGTGATCAGTCCTGTTGTTGATGAGATAATATGAGGATGTTTTGCAGGGCTACCTCCTCATCCATGAAGTCCTCCGGCCTGGCGTTCTGTCTGCCTGCTTTCTGCTGCCTGGATGATACAAATGTTGATGGTGTCCACCCTGCAATGGGAATCAAGCAGTGATTCATACAGTTACATATAGCAATATTTTTTGGGATGAATATATTATATCGATATTTTACTCCAATTATACATTTGTAAAAAAATTAAAATCTACATCAAAAAGGTAGGTAGCGTTAGCTAGCACTAGTCCAAAGTCCAGTCTAGTATGGTGATAATATGGTATGGTGAGGTCCCTCAGTATGGTGATAATATGGTGAGGTCCCTCAGTATGGTGATAATATGGTATGGTGAGGTCCCTCAGTATGGTGATAATATGGTATGGTGAGGTCCCTCAGTATGGTGATAATATGGTATGGTGAGGTCCCTCAGTATGGTGATAATATGGTATGGTGAGGTCCCTCAGTATGGTGATAATATGGTATGGTGAGGTCCCTCAGTATGGTGATAATATGGTATGGTGAGGTCCCTCAGTATGGTGATAATATGGTGAGGTCCCTCAGTATGGTGATAATATGGTATGGTGAGGTCCCTCAGTATGGTGATAATATGGTATGGTGAGGTCCCTCAGTATGGTGATAATATGGTATGGTGAGGTCCCTCAGTATGGTGATAATATGGTATGGTGAGGTCCCTCAGTATAGTGATAACATGGTATGAACTCCCAGCCCTAGAAAGAAGCCGGTTAAACGTCACATGATCACATTAATAGGCCTACATGCTACTCTCTGTCTGAGTGAGTGAGTGAGTGAGTGAGTGAGTGAGTGAGTGAGTGAGTGAGAGAGAGAGAGAGAGAGAGAGAGATAGTGTGTGAGAGTTCCACTCCTTTGCCACAGCATGACCAACCTTCTTTGGTGCCCACGGTGTTGAAGTACCCAGCAGAGAATCCTCCGGTGAAGGCTCCATGGAACCTCTGGTAGCGACCCTTCTCATCCTTCACGGTCTGCTCGTGCACCGGGATAGGTTTCCTCAGAGGCTCATCTACACAGGTGATCAAAACATCAGCAGCAATGATATTGTAGAGTAACACTTGCTACTGGTTAGGAAATGCCCTTTTTTAGAAGCACTAGACAAAGAAGTGACATCAAAACTACAAGACACTATCTCTGATTTCTGTAGACCAGAACCAGGTCGACCAGAAAGAGAAATTATTGCCCAAATAGGTCGACGAGCTACCTGTTTGCTTAGTGGCATTTTCCCATGTCGGAAGGTATATCCATAATCATTAGATGGTTCTTATTAATTCTGCATCACTTACATTACCGAGAAGTTTACAAGAAAGTATTAAATCCAGTTTTCAGACGCTACCCTACATGGATGATGTGTTCTCGCCAGAGACGGAAGTGGAAGTGAGACATCCCACTCCCTCATTTGTTCTGGTTCATGTACAGCCAATGAACTAAGCAGACCAGACCCAGCCAATAGGGAGACATATCAGGTTACACAGGATGAATGGTGCCAGGTTGGTGAAATTACATTTAGAATTAGAAGCTAAGTACTAGCTAGTGTGTAGTAGCTAGCTAGTGTTGTACTAGCTAGTGTGTAGTAGCTAGATAGTTAGCTGCACAAGCAACAGTGGTTAACATAACACCCTGGACCAGAGCCGACTGATATTCGCCTAGCACGCTGACGCCCTGGACCAGAGCTAGTGAGCTGATTTGTTCCTAGCACGCTGACGCCCTGGACCAGAGCTAGTGAGCTGATTTGTTCCTAGCACGCTGACGCCCTGGACCAGAGCTAGTGAGCTGATTTGTTCCTAGCACGCTGACGCCCTGGACCAGAGCTAGTGACTCACGCGATACAAGCGACCAACAAAAGTCTACAGGTTGCGCGCGCGCACATACCATCTGACACGCAGAAACACCTTCTGACACCGCAGAAATACCATCTGGACACGCAGAAATACCATCTGACACGCAGCAAAACAACCCAATCTGGACACGCAGAAACACCATCTTGACAACTCAGAAATACCCATCTGGACACGCAGAAAGACCATCTGACACGCAGAAATACCATCTGACAAACGCAGAAATACCATCTGAATGCAGAAAATACCATCTGACATGCAGAAATACCATCTGACACGCAGAAAATACCATCTGAGATGCAGAAATACCATCTGACACGCAGAAATACCATCTGACACGCAGAATACCATCTGAACAAACGCAGAAATACCATCTGAGATGCAGAAATACCATCTGACACGCAGAAATACCATCTGACACGCAGAAATACCATCTGACACGCAGAAATACCATCTGACACGCAGAAATACCATCTGACACGCAGAAACACCATCTGACACGCAGAAATACCATCTGACACGCAGAAATACCATCTGACACGCAGAAATACCATCTGACACGCAGAAATACCGTCTGACACGCAGAAATACCGTCTGACACGCAGAAATACCATCTGACACGCAGAAATACCATCTGAGACGCAGAAATACCATCTGACGACGCAGAAATACCATCTGACACGAACGCGCATGTGCTTTGAGAGTCGCAGACCAGGCGGCATCAGCGCACATCATCTATAGTTGGATGCTTCTCCAATAGGGTTTGGCTCCAGCAGTCATGTGTGGCTACGCAGTCATGAGTGAACAGGGAGTACAGGAGGGGACTAAGCACACACCCCTGAGGGGCCCCCGTGTTGAAGGTCAGCGTGGCAGATAATAATAATAATAATAATAAGCCATTTAGCAGACGCTTTTATCCAAAGCGACTTACAGTCATGTGTGCATAAATTTTTTTTTGTGTGTACGGGTGGTCCCGGGGATCGAACCCACTACCTTGGCGTTACAAGCGCCGTGCTCTACCAGCTGAGCTACAGAGGACCACGCTGATGTCTTGTTGTCTACCCTCACCACCTGGGGGCGTCCCATCAGGAAGTCCAGGATCCAGTTGCAGAGGGAGGTGTTCAATCCCAGGGTCCTTAGCTTAGTGATGAGTTTGGAGGGCACTATGGTGTTGAACGCTGAGCTGCAGTCAATGAACAGCATTCTCACGTAGGTGTTCCTTTTGTCCAAGTGGGAAAGGGCAATAGAGATTGAGTCATCGGTGGATCTGTTGGGGCGGTATGTGAATTGGAGTGGGTCCAGGGTGTCTGGGATGATGGTGTTGCAATGACCAGCCTTTCAAAGCATTTAATGGCTGCAGATGTGAGTGCTACGGGGCGATAGTCATTTAGACAGGTTACCTTGGTGTTCTTGGGCACAGGGACTATGGTGGTCTGCTTGAAACATGTTGGTATTACAAACTGGGTTAAGGGAGAGCTTGAAAATGTCAGCGCATGCTCTGACCGCGTCCTGGTAATCCGTCTGGCCTTGTGAATGTTAACACGTTTAAATGTTTTACTCACATTGGTTACGGAGAGCGAGTCGTCCGGAGTAGTATTTAAAAACCGAATTCAAGACATTATTGTGCACTGCTCGTTAATGTAAATTATGCCCAAATAATAGGAACAGTCTACAGATGACGGATATACTGTCCCTACCGACGTGGGGGAAAGTGTCGCTAAACTGCAGGGTACAGACGTGTCAGCGTGGCAAGCGATTAGAACTCGTCTAACGAATGGATGAATAAGGTCTTAGTTTGAGACGGGGTGTTTTACTGTTATGATTACTGTACTTACAAGTGATCAACTGGAAACACGACAACGGACGAACCCTGTCTGTTGGGCTAAACGAGACCGTGCTAACATGGCTAACTAGCTAGCTTTAACAGAGACATGGAGGCGATACCAGCAACTCGTGGAGACCACTTTGACCATTCTTTCCCTCACAATAACTATTAAATGGCTGCATTAATGGCATATACAAAGTAGAAACGTATGTTACCTTCTTCCAGCGGTTCTAACGGGGTTCCAAAAGTAACAAAATCCTGGTCGCTATCACTGTCGGACGCCATGTTTACTATAACTACGGAAACTCGTTCCGTTCAAAATCACGCGCAGGCGCAATCAAATTGCGAACCGCTTATTCAAAGGTTAACTGAGTTTTACTCACTGGTCACTGCCTGTTGAATTTGGTAATAGATTAACTGAAATGTCCTGGAATTTATGCATTAATCGTGGAAGAGTTTTTATGTTCAATCAATTCAAGCTATGATCCTGTAATTACAACGAATTCAGCATTCAGCTTCATTGTAGGTTTCATAAGTTTGAGTGACATCTTGTGGTAACATTGCAAGCAGCTTGTGTGTGAGAGAGAGAGTGAGAGAGAGCTGGTGTGTGTTTAGTGTGTATGAAAGAAAGAGACAGAGAGACAGAGTTAGTGTGTGGGTGGATAAGCTGCTACCATCTCATTGAATGAAATTAATGGTTTAATTCCTCCAGCATGCTGAAAAGCAAAGCAGTGGCTATCAAATGTCCAGCCAGAGAGCACAATCCTCTGTCATTTGTTTTCTTTGAGCGCCAAATCATTGACATTCCCTCTGTTGTATATAAAAGCAGATACTGTCTTACAAAGAGCAAACTGTCTCCGTCAGCAGAAACCCATCCAGAATAAGACTCCAAAAAGCCCCCTGGACGCTGAATAAAACTTAATCCTCCCTTCTCTCTGCAACACAACCTCCTCCCCTCTAAATGTTAACTCTCTGTCTGCAGGGGGTAACCATGACCCTAACTGCCCTGTACGGCACTCAGGAGATAGCCATGACCCTAACTGCCCTGTAAGGCACTCAGGAGATAGCCATGATCCTAACTGCCCTGTACGGCACTCAGGAGATAGCCATGACCCTAACTGCCCTGTACGGCACTCAGGAGATAGCCATGACCCTAACTGCCCTGTACGGCACTCAGGAGATAGCCATGACCCTAACTGCCCTGTACGGCACTCAGGAGATAGCCATGACCCTAACTGCCCTGTACGGCACTCAGGAGATAGCCATGACCCTAACTGCCCTGTAAGGCACTCAGGAGATAGCCATGACCCTAACTGCCCTGTAAGGCACTCAGGAGATAGCCATGACCCCTAACTGCCCTGTAAGGCACTCAGGAGATAGCCATGACCCTAACTGCCCTGTACGGCACTCAGGAGATAGCCATGACCCTAACTGACCTGTAAGGCACTCAGGAGATACCCATGACCCTAACTGCCCTGTACGGCACTCAGGAGATAGCCATGACCCTAACTGCCCTGTAAGGCACTCAGGAGATAGCCATGACCCTAACTGCCCTGTACGGCACTCAGGAGATAGCCATGACCCTAACTGCCCTGTACGGCACTCAGGAGATAGCCATGACCCTAACTGCCCTGTAAGGCACTCAGGAGATAGCCATGACCCTAACTGCCCTGTAAGGCACTCAGGAGATAGCCATGACCCTAACTGCCCTGTAAGGCACTCAGGAGATAGCCATGACCCTAACTGCCCTGTAAGGCACTCAGGAGATAGCCATGACCCTAACTGCCCTGTAAGGCACTCAGGAGATAGCCATGACCCTAACTGCCCTGTACGGCACTCAGGAGATAGCCATGACCCTAACTGCCCTGTACGGCACTCAGGAGATAGCATTGACCCTAACTGCCCTGTAAGGCACTCAGGAGATAGCCATGACCCTAACTGCCCTGTACGGCACTCAGGAGATAGCCATGACCCTAACTGCCCTGTAAGGCACTCAGGAGATAGCCATGACCCTAACTGCCCTGTAAGGCACTCAGGAGATAGCCATGACCCTAACTGCCCTGTACGGCACTCAGGAGATAGCCATGACCCTAACTGCCCTGTAAGGCACTCAGGAGATAGCCATGACCCTAACTGCCCTGTAAGGCACTCAGGAGATAGCCATGACCCTAACTGCCCTGTAAGGCACTCAGGAGATAGCCATGACCCTAACTGCCCTGTAAGGCACTCAGGAGATAGCCATGACCCTAACTGCCCTGTACGGCACTCAGGAGATAGCCATGACCCTAACTGCCCTGTACGGCACTCAGGAGATAGCCATGACCCTAACTGCCCTGTAAGGCACTCAGGAGATAGCCATGACCCTAACTGCCCTGTAAGGCACTCAGGAGATAGCCATGACCCTAACTGCCCTGTAAGGCACTCAGGAGATAGCCATGACCCTAACTGCCCTGTAAGGCACTCAGGAGATAGCCATGACCCTAACTGCCCTGTAAGGCACTCAGGAGATAGCCATGACCCTAACTGCCCTGTAAGGCACTCAGGAGATAGCCATGACCCTAACTGCCCTGTAAGGCACTCAGGAGATAGCCATGACCCTAACTGCCCTGTAAGGCACTCAGGAGATAGCCATGACCCTAACTGCCCTGTAAGGCACTCAGGAGATAGCCATGACCCTAACTGCCCTGTAAGGCACTCAGGAGATAGCCATGACCCTAACTGCCCTGTAAGGCACTCAGGAGATAGCCATGACCCTAACTGCCCTGTAAGGCACTCAGGAGATAGCCATGACCCTAACTGCCCTGTAAGGCACTCAGGAGATAGCCATGACCCTAACTGCCCTGTAAGGCACTCAGGAGATAGCCATGACCCTAACTGCCCTGTAAGGCACTCAGGAGATAGCCATGACCCTAACTGCCCTGTAAGGCACTCAGGAGATAGCCATGACCCTAACTGCCCTGTAAGGCACTCAGGAGATAGCCCATTCATTTTGAGTGAAGCTCTGGCCAGCATCCCAAATGGCATCCTATTAGTTATATAGTGCACTATATCAGCCCCTTGCATGCATTCAGGGAACTTCTCTCAAACCTGCATTTTTTTACTAATATGAGTATCTTATCCTCACTGCTATAACCTTTCCCTCTCCACTGTGTCCAGATGCCTGGTGTTGAGTCTGGACCCCACCATGACAGAGAGGGAGACAGAGGGATGAGTTTGGACCCCACCATGACAGAGAGGGAGACAGAGGGATGAGTCTGGACCCCACCATGACAGAGAGGGAGACCGAGGGATGAGTCTGGACCCCACCATGACAGAGAGGGAGACCGAGGGATGAGTCTGGACCCCACCATGACAGAGAGGGAGACCGAGGGATGAGTCTGGACCCCACCATGACAGAGAGGGAGACCGAGGGATGAGTCTGGACCCCCCCATGACAGAGAGGGAGACCGAGGGATGAGTCTGGACCCCACCATGACAGAGAGGGAGACCGAGGGATGAGTCTGGACCCCCCCATGACAGAGAGGGAGACCGAGGGATGAGTCTGGACCCCCCCCCATGACAGAGAGGGAGACCGAGGGATGAGTCTGGACCCCACCATGACAGAGAGGGAGACCGAGGGATGAGTCTGGACCCCACCATGACAGAGAGGGAGACCGAGGGATGAGTCTGGACCCCACCATGACAGAGAGGGAGACCGAGGGATGAGTCTGGACCCCCCCCATGACAGAGAGGGAGACCGAGGGATGAGTCTGGACCCCACCATGACAGAGAGGGAGACCGAGGGATGAGTCTGGACCCCACCATGACAGAGAGGGAGACCGAGGGATGAGTCTGGACCCCCCCCATGACAGAGAGGGAGACCGAGGGATGAGTCTGGACCCCACCATGACAGAGAGGGAGACCGAGGGATGAGTCTGGACCCCCCCATGACAGAGAGGGAGACCGAGGGATGAGTCTGGACCCCACCATCACAGAGAGGGAGACCGAGGGATGAGTCTGGACCCCACCATGACAGAGAGGGAGACCGAGGGATGAGTCTGGACCCCACCATCACAGAGAGGGAGACCGAGGGATGAGTCTGGACCCCCCCATGACAGAGAGGGAGACAGAGGGATGAGTCTGGACCCCCCCATGACAGAGAGGGAGACAGAGGGATGAGTTTGTCTGTGCTGCTCCTCTCTGTCCTGTCTCCTCACCAGGAGGTAGGTAACTCTGCACTCTGCACAGCTTCACCGTAGGTCGTCTCAAATCGCACCCTATTCTACTCTGGGCTAAAGTAGTGCACTATATAGGGAATAGGGTGCCATTCTCTGGTCTAAAGTAGTGCACTATATAGGGAATAGGGTGTCATTCTCTGGTCTAAAGTAGTGCACTATATAGGGAATATGGTGTCATTCTCTGGTCTAAAGTAGTGCACTATATAGGGAATAGGGTGCCATTCTCTGGTCTAAAGTAGTGCACTATATAGGGAATAGGGTGTCATTTGGGACACATCCAGGACATGTCCTGTGAGGCCTGGAGGAATATGAGCAACTGCTCTAGTTTCAAGTTTTATTGAACAGGAGAAAGTAAGTCAGCTACATACAGGGACAGTTCCAGGGTCAGTTCCAGGGTCAGTAGCTACATACAGGATCAGTTCCAGGGTCAGTAGCTATATACAGGGACTGTTCCAGGGTCAGTAGCTATATACAGGGTCAGATCCAGGGTCAGTAGCTATATACAGGGTCAGTAGCTATATACAGGGTCAGTTCCAGGGTCAGTAGCTATATACAGGGACAGTTCCAGGGTCAGTAGCTATATACAGGGACAGTTCCAGGGTCAGTAGCTATATACAGGGTCAGTAGCTATATACAGGGTCAGTTCCAGGGTCAGTTCCAGGGTCAGTAGCTATATACAGGGTCAGTAGCTATATACAGGGTCAGTTCCAGGGTCAGTTCCAGGGTCAGTAGCTATATACAGGGTCAGTAGCTATATACAGGGTCAGTTCCAGGGTCAGTAGCTATATACAGGGACAGTTCCAGGGTCAGTAGCTATATACAGGGTCAGTTCCAGGGTCAGTAGCTATATACAGGGACAGTTCCAGGGTCAGTAGCTATATACAGGGTCAGTTCCAGGGTCAGTAGCTATATACAGGGACAGTTCCAGGGTCAGTTCTAGGGTCAGTAGCTACATACAGGGACTGTTCCAGGGTCAGTAGCTATATACAGGGTCAGTTCCAGGGTCAGTAGCTACATACAGGGACAGTTCCAGGGTCAGTAGCTATATACAGGGACAGTTCCAGGGTCAGTAGCTATATACAGGGACAGTTCCAGGGTCAGTAGCTATATACAGGGACAGTTCCAGGGTCAGTAGCTATATACAGGGTCAGTTCCAGGGTCAGTAGCTATATACAGGGTCAGTTCCAGGGTCAGTAGCTATATACAGTTCCAGGGTCAGTAGCTATATACAGGGTCAGTTCCAGGGTCAGTAGCTATATACAGGGACAGTTCCAGGGTCAGTAGCTATATACAGGGACAGTTCCAGGGTCAGTAGCTATATACAGGGACAGTTCCAGGGTCAGTAGCTATATACAGGGACAGTTCCAGGGTCAGTAGCTATATACAGGGACAGTTCCAGGGTCAGTAGCTATATAAACGCAATGCCCTCGTTTGGGTGTAGGGTCTGATCAGAGCCTGAAGGTAAGGAGGTGCCGTTCCCCTCACTGCTCCATAGGCAAGCACCATGGTTTTGTAGTAGATGTAAGCTTCAACTGGAAGCCAGTGGAGTGTGCGGAGGAGCGGGGTGACATGAGAGAACTTGGGAAGGTTGAACACCAGACGGGCTGCAGCGTTCTGGATGAGTTGTAGGGGTTTAATGGCACAGGCAGGGAGCCCAGCCAACAGCGATGTCTATGGAGACATTGCTGTCTACTTATCTAACACAGAGGGTCTTATTGGTTCACTGTAACTCGATGACCACCAGAGATCTCTGGTTAAGTTCCAAATGGCACCCTATTCCCTATATAGTGCACTACTATTGACATTTTACATTTTAGTCATTTAGCAGACGTTCTTATCCAGAGCGACATACAGTTAGTGAGTGCATACATTTTCATACTGCCCCCCCCCCCCCGTGGGAAACGAACCCACAACCCTGGCGTTGCAAGCGCCATGCTCTACCAACTGAGGTACAGGGGACTACATTGACCGGAACCCACTGGGCCCTGCACTATAAAGGGAATAAGGTGCCATTTGGAACACAGCGTACGACCAGGAGATCACAACCCAGAGTGAGTGCTGGGCGTGTGCTCCTGGCTAAGGCAGGATTGATCTAACCTACAGGCCTGATAAGACTCACCTTCAGCAGGATAAGTTAGGAGCCTCGTCCCAGCCAGAACGGCCCACAGGGCAGGAGTCTGTCTTCTGTTCGGGGCGTGACAGGCAGCTTCCGCGAGGGCAGAAGGCACACCACTCCAGGGACAAATATAGGATTTTATTTTATTGATTCGTATTTTCTTGCCTGAGTATTTTATTTTACCTTCTGTTCCGTCCGGTTCCAGTAAACTTGTTGTTTGACCATTGTTTAACCCCACAGTCTGAAGAAACGTCCGATGGTGCTCAGTGTGCCAAACCACTCTAGCAGCACTGTCCTCAGAGTAACAATATAAAACCTGACTCGGCTTGGTCAGAACATCAGAACATCAGCTTGTTTCAACATCAGATGCGTGGTGCCGAGGACACCAAGGGAGAAGGAGAGAGGACAGACAAAGACCAGATAGCTGACCCCACACACACCCCAGCCTCCTGCCATGCAACCCACTGGAGATCCACTGTATATCAGTTATGAGTGTTTTAACTTGGAACTTTTCACTCCCCCACCAAGACTATCTAGACCAGATAGACTGCTGTAGCAGTGTGTTATACATGCTAACACACACACAAACACACACACACACACACACACACACACACACACACACACACACACACACACACACACACAAACACACACACACACACACACACAACACACACACACACACACACACACACACACAAACACACACACACAAACACACACACACACACAAACACACAACACACACACACACAAACACACAAACACACACACAAACACACAAACACACACACAAACACACACAACACACACCACACACACACAACACCACAAACACACACACACACAACACACCACACACACACACACACCCACACAACCACACACACACCACAAACACACACCACACACCCCACACACACACCACACACAAACAACACACACACAACACACAAACCCACCACAACACACACACACCCAACAAAACACACAAACACACCATACAAGCACACAAAACACACACACACACACACACACCACACAACACATAGCACCTCCTTAGCAGCAAGCGCAGCAAGGCATTCCTGGGTGGAGCATCACAAGGTCTGAGGGCTTCATCACAGGCCACAAACCACACCCTACAACTCCTTATGGTCTTTGCAGTGTCCTGGTCAAGAGGCCATGGATGTTATGCATTTGGACGATCAAGTCTGGTTGACTTCAATGTCTGTTCCAACGGCACCGCTCATCAGACAATAGGCCTTCTCTGTAGAGTGGGCCGTCACTAAGGACAATAGGCCTGTCTGCTGTAGTGGGACGGCACTACAGGACAATAAGGCCTGTCTGCTGTATGGAGTGGGCAGCCTCTCACTAACAGGACAATAAGGCCTGTCTGCTGTAGGAGTGGGCAGCCTCTCACTAACAGGACAATAAGGCCTGTCTGCTGTAGGAGTGGGCAGCCGCTCACTAACCAGGACAATAAGGCCTGTCTGCTGTAGGAGTGGGCAGCCGCTCACTAACAGGACAATAAGGCCCGTCTGCTGTAGGAGCTGGGCAGCCTCTCCACTAACAGGACAATAAGGCCTGTCTGCTGTAGGAGTGGGCAGCCGCTCACTAACAGGACAATAAGGCCTGTCTGCTGTAGGAGTGGGCAGCCGCTCACTATCAGGACAATAAGGCCTGTCTGCTGTAGGAGTGGGCTGCCGCTCACTATCAGGACAATAAGGCCTGTCTGCTGTAGGAGTGGGCATCCTCTCACTAACAGGACAATAAGGCCTGTCTGCTGTAGGAGTGGGCAGCCTCTCACTAACAGGACAATAAGGCCTGTCTGCTGTAGGAGTGGGCAGCCGCTCACTAACAGGACAATAAGGCCTGTCTGCTGTAGGAGTGGGCAGCCTCTCACTAACATGGACAATAAGGCCTGTCTGCTGTAGGAGTGGGCAGCCTGCTCACTAACAGGACAATAAGGCCTGTCTGCTGTAGGAGTTGGGCAGCCGCTCACTATCAGGACAATAAGGCCTGTCTGCTGTAGGAGTGGGCAGCCTCTCACTATCAGGACAATAAGGCCTGTCTGCTGTAGGAGTGGGCAGCCGCTCACTAACAGGACAATAAGGCCTGTCTGCTGTAGGAGTGGGCAGCCTCTCACTAACAGGACAATAAGGCCTGTCTGCTGTAGGAGCGGGCAGCCTCTCACTAACAGGACAATAAGGCCTGTCTGCTGTAGGAGTGGGCAGCCGCTCACTAACAGGACAATAAGGCCTGTCTGCTGTAGGAGTGGGCAGCCGCTCACTAACAGGACAATAAGGCCTGTCTGCTGTAGGAGTGGGCAGCCTCTCACTAACAGGACAATAAGGCCTGTCTGCTGTAGGAGTGGGCAGCCTCTCACTAACAGGACAATAAGGCCTGTCTGCTGTAGGAGTGGGCAGCCTCTCACTAACAGGACAATAAGGCCTGTCTGCTGTAGGAGTGGGCAGCCTCTCACTAACAGGACAATAAGGCCTGTCTGCTGTAGGAGTGGGCTGCCGCTCACTAACAGGACAATAAGGCCTGTCTGCTGTAGGAGTGGCCAGCCGCTCACTAACAGGACAATAAGGCCTGTCTGCTGTAGGAGTGGCCAGCCGCTCACTAACAGGACAATAAGGCCTGTCTGCTGTAGGAGTGGGCAGCCTCTCACTAACAGGACAATAAGGCCTGTCTGCTGTAGGAGTGGGCAGCCGCTCACTAACAGGACAATAAGGCCTGTCTGCTGTAGGAGTGGGCAGCCGCTCACTATCAGGACAATAAGGCCTGTCTGCTGTAGGAGTGGGCAGCCTCTCACTATCAGGACAATAAGGCCTGTCTGCTGTAGGAGTGGGCAGCCGCTCACTAACAGGACAATAAGGCCTGTCTGCTGTAGGAGTGGGCAGCCGCTCACTAACAGGACAATAAGGCCTGTCTGCTGTAGGAGTGGGCAGCCTCTCACTAACAGGACAATAAGGCCTGTCTGCTGTAGGAGTGGGCAGCCGCTCACTAACAGGACAATAAGGCCTGTCTGCTGTAGGAGTGGGCAGCCGCTCACTAACAGGACAATAAGGCCTGTCTGCTGTAGGAGCGGGCAGCCTCTCACTAACAGGACAATAAGGCCTGTCTGCTGTAGGAGTGGGCAGCCGCTCACTAACAGGACAATAAGGCCTGTCTGCTGTAGGAGTGGGCAGCCGCTCACTATCAGGACAATAAGGCCTGTCTGCTGTAGGAGTGGGCTGCCGCTCACTATCAGGACAATAAGGCCTGTCTGCTGTAGGAGTGGGCATCCTCTCACTAACAGGACAATAAGGCCTGTCTGCTGTAGGAGTGGGCAGCCTCTCACTAACAGGACAATAAGGCCTGTCTGCTGTAGGAGTGGGCAGCCGCTCACTAACAGGACAATAAGGCCTGTCTGCTGTAGGAGTGGGCAGCCTCTCACTAACAGGACAATAAGGCCTGTCTGCTGTAGGAGTGGGCAGCCGCTCACTAACAGGACAATAAGGCCTGTCTGCTGTAGGAGTGGGCAGCCGCTCACTATCAGGACAATAAGGCCTGTCTGCTGTAGGAGTGGGCAGCCTCTCACTATCAGGACAATAAGGCCTGTCTGCTGTAGGAGTGGGCAGCCGCTCACTAACAGGACAATAAGGCCTGTCTGCTGTAGGAGTGGGCAGCCTCTCACTAACAGGACAATAAGGCCTGTCTGCTGTAGGAGCGGGCAGCCTCTCACTAACAGGACAATAAGGCCTGTCTGCTGTAGGAGTGGGCAGCCGCTCACTAACAGGACAATAAGGCCTGTCTGCTGTAGGAGTGGGCAGCCGCTCACTAACAGGACAATAAGGCCTGTCTGCTGTAGGAGTGGGCAGCCTCTCACTAACAGGACAATAAGGCCTGTCTGCTGTAGGAGTGGGCAGCCTCTCACTAACAGGACAATAAGGCCTGTCTGCTGTAGGAGTGGGCAGCCTCTCACTAACAGGACAATAAGGCCTGTCTGCTGTAGGAGTGGGCAGCCTCTCACTAACAGGACAATAAGGCCTGTCTGCTGTAGGAGTGGGCTGCCGCTCACTAACAGGACAATAAGGCCTGTCTGCTGTAGGAGTGGCCAGCCGCTCACTAACAGGACAATAAGGCCTGTCTGCTGTAGGAGTGGCCAGCCGCTCACTAACAGGACAATAAGGCCTGTCTGCTGTAGGAGTGGGCAGCCTCTCACTAACAGGACAATAAGGCCTGTCTGCTGTAGGAGTGGGCAGCCGCTCACTAACAGGACAATAAGGCCTGTCTGCTGTAGGAGTGGGCAGCCGCTCACTATCAGGACAATAAGGCCTGTCTGCTGTAGGAGTGGGCAGCCTCTCACTATCAGGACAATAAGGCCTGTCTGCTGTAGGAGTGGGCAGCCGCTCACTAACAGGACAATAAGGCCTGTCTGCTGTAGGAGTGGGCAGCCTCTCACTAACAGGACAATAAGGCCTGTCTGCTGTAGGAGCGGGCAGCCTCTCACTAACAGGACAATAAGGCCTGTCTGCTGTAGGAGTGGGCAGCCGCTCACTAACAGGACAATAAGGCCTGTCTGCTGTAGGAGTGGGCAGCCGCTCACTAACAGGACAATAAGGCCTGTCTGCTGTAGGAGTGGGCAGCCTCTCACTAACAGGACAATAAGGCCTGTCTGCTGTAGGAGTGGGCAGCCTCTCACTAACAGGACAATAAGGCCTGTCTGCTGTAGGAGTGGGCAGCCTCTCACTAACAGGACAATAAGGCCTGTCTGCTGTAGGAGTGGGCAGCCTCTCACTAACAGGACAATAAGGCCTGTCTGCTGTAGGAGTGGGCTGCCGCTCACTAACAGGACAATAAGGCCTGTCTGCTGTAGGAGTGGCCAGCCGCTCACTAACAGGACAATAAGGCCTGTCTGCTGTAGGAGTGGCCAGCCGCTCACTAACAGGACAATAAGGCCTGTCTGCTGTAGGAGTGGGCAGCCTCTCACTATCAGGACAATAAGGCCTGTCTGCTGTAGGAGTGGCCAGCCGCTCACTAACAGGACAATAAGGCCTGTCTGCTGTAGGAGTGGGCAGCCTCTCACTATCAGGACAATAAGGCCTGTCTGCTGTAGGAGTGGGCAGCCGCTCACTAACAGGACAATAAGGCCTGTCTGCTGTAGGAGTGGGCAGCCTCTCACTAACAGGACAATAAGGCCTGTCTGCTGTAGGAGTGGGCAGCCGCTCACTAACAGGACAATAAGGCCTGTCTGCTGTAGGAGCGGGCTGCCGCTCACTAACAGGACAATAAGGCCTGTCTGCTGTAGGAGTGGCCAGCCGCTCACTAACAGGACAATAAGGCCTGTCTGCTGTAGGAGTGGGCAGCCTCTCACTAACAGGACAATAAGGCCTGTCCGCTGTAGGAGTGGGCAGCCGCTCACTAACAGGACAATAAGGCCTGTCTGCTGTAGGAGTGGGCAGCCGCTCACTATCAGGACAATAAGGCCTGTCTGCTGTAGGAGTGGGCAGCCGCTCACTATCAGGACAATAAGGCCTGTCTGCTGTAGGAGTGGGCAGCCGCTCACTATCAGGACAATAAGGCCTGTCTGCTGTAGGAGTGGGCAGCCTCTCACTAACAGGACAATAAGGCCTGTCTGCTGTAGGAGTGGGCAGCCTCTCACTAACAGGACAATAAGGCCTGTCTGCTGTAGGAGTGGGCAGCCACTCACTAACAGGACAATAAGGCCTGTCTGCTGTAGGAGTGGGCAGCCACTCACTAACAGGACAATAAGGCCTGTCTGCTGTAGGAGTGGGCAGCCGCTCACTAACAGGACAATAAGGCCTGTCTGCTGTAGGAGTGGGCAGCCTCTCACTAACAGGACAATAAGGCCTGTCTGCTGTAGGAGTGGGCAGCCACTCACTAACAGGACAATAAGGCCTGTCTGCTGTAGGAGTGGGCAGCCACTCACTAACAGGACAATAAGGCCTGTCTGCTGTAGGAGTGGGCAGCCGCTCACTAACAGGACAATAAGGCCTGTCTGCTGTAGGAGTGGGCAGCCTCTCACTAACAGGACAATAAGGCCTGTCTGCTGTAGGAGTGGGCAGCCACTCACTAACAGGACAATAAGGCCTGTCTGCTGTAGGAGTGGGCAGCCACTCACTAACAGGACAATAAGGCCTGTCTGCTGTAGGAGTGGGCAGCCGCTCACTAACAGGACAATAAGGCCTGTCTGCTGTAGGAGTGGGCAGCCTCTCACTAACAGGACAATAAGGCCTGTCTGCTGTAGGAGTGGGCAGCCTCTCACTAACAGGACAATAAGGCCTGTCTGCTGTAGGAGTGGGCAGCCTCTCACTAACAGGACAATAAGGCCTGTCTGCTGTAGGAGTGGGCAGCCACTCACTAACAGGACAATAAGGCCTGTCTGCTGTAGGAGTGGGCAGCCGCTCACTAACAGGACAATAAGGCCTGTCTGCTGTAGGAGTGGGCAGCCTCTCACTAACAGGACAATAAGGCCTGTCTGCTGTAGGAGTGGGCAGCCTCTCACTATCAGGACAATAAGGCCTGTCTGCTGTAGGAGTGGGCAGCCGCTCACTATCAGGACAATAAGGCCTGTCTGCTGTAGGAGTGGGCAGCCTCTCACTAACAGGACAATAAGGCCTGTCTGCTGTAGGAGTGGGCAGCCTCTCACTAACAGGACAATAAGGCCTGTCTGCTGTAGGAGTGGGCAGCCGCTCACTAACAGGACAATAAGGCCTGTCTGCTGTAGGAGTGGGCAGCCTCTCACTAACAGGACAATAAGGCCTGTCTGCTGTAGGAGTGGGCAGCCGCTCACTAACAGGACAATAAGGCCTGTCTGCTGTAGGAGTGGGCAGCCTCTCACTAACAGGACAATAAGGCCTGTCTGCTGTAGGAGTGGGCAGCCTCTCACTAACAGGACAATAAGGCCTGTCTGCTGTAGGAGTGGGCAGCCGCTCACTAACAGGACAATAAGGCCTGTCTGCTGTAGGAGTGGGCAGCCGCTCACTAACAGGACAATAAGGCCTGTCTGCTGTAGGAGTGGGCAGCCTCTCACTAACAGGACAATAAGGCCTGTCTGCTGTAGGAGTGGGCAGCCTCTCACTAACAGGACAATAAGGCCTGTCTGCTGTAGGAGTGGGCAGCCTCTCACTAACAGGACAATAAGGCCTGTCTGCTGTAGGAGTCGGCAGCCTCTCACTAACAGGACAATAAGGCCTGTCTGCTGTAGGAGTGGGCAGCCTCTCACTAACAGGACAATAAGGCCTGTCTGCTGTAGGAGTGGGCAGCCTCTCACTAACAGGACAATAAGGCCTGTCTGCTGTAGGAGTCGGCAGCCTCTCACTAACAGGACAATAAGGCCTGTCTGCTGTAGGAGTGGGCAGCCTCTCACTAACAGGACAATAAGGCCTGTCTGCTGTAGGAGTGGGCAGCCTCTCAGTACTGTGTGGTGTGATGCTGTGTGGTGTGATGCTGTGTGGTTTGGTGCTGTGTGGTGTGATGCTGTGTGGTGTGATGCTGTGTGGTGTGGTGCTGTGTGGTGTGATGCTGTGTGGTGTGATGCTGTGTGTTGTGATGCTGTGTGGTGTGATGCTGTGTGTGATGCTGTGTGGTGTGATGCTGTGTGGTGTGATGCTGTGTGGTGTGATGCTGTGTGGTGCTGTGTGGTGTGATGCTGTGTGGTGTGATGCTGAGTGTTGTGATGCTGTGTGGTGTGGTGCTGTGTGGTGTGATGCTGTGTGGTGTGATGCTGTGTGTTGTGATGCTGTGTGGTGTGATGCTGTGTGTGATGCTGTGTGGTGTGATGCTGTGTGGTGTGATACTGTGTGGTGTGGTGCTGTGCGGTGTGATGCTGTGTGGTGTGGTGCTGTGTGGTGCTGTGTGGTGTGATACTGTGTATGTCATCTGGTACAGAATGTAGAGTAGTGACCCAGATGTTTGCATCCCAAATGGCACCATGTCTCCTATATAGTGCACTACTTTTTACCAAGGGCCCGTAGGTCTACGTAGATTAGTTCTTAAAAATGATAAGCTGTTTTACAGTAACTGGAAAGATATTGTGTTGTCATATTAGATTTTCTTGAACCTTTATTTGAACAGGGAGTCATGCTGAGACCAAGGTCTCCTTCTCAGAGAGGCCCTACGAGCCCTTTATTTGAACAGGGAGTCATGCTGAGACCAAGGTCTCCTTCTCAGAGAGGCCCTACGAGCCCTATTGAACAGGGAGTCATGCTGAGACCAAGGTCTCCTTCTCAGAGAGGCCCTACGAGCCCTATTGAACAGGGAGTCATGCTGAGACCAAGGTCTCCTTCTCAGAGAGGCCCTACGAGCCCTATTGAACAGGGAGTCATGCTGAGACCAAGGTCTCCTTCTCAGAGAGGCCCTACGAGCCCTATTGAACAGGGAGTCATGCTGAGACCAAGGTCTCCTTCTCAGAGAGGCCCTACGAGCCATATTGTCTAAATAAAAGAAGTCAGTGTTATTGAATTAATATCTGATATCTTGTGATGTCATTAAACCCTCTAAAAACACATTTTTACAATAACGCCAAATAGTCTTAAGTAATATTCTCTTACCATTATTGAAAATGACAGCTAAAAAAGTGCCAAGTCAAAATACTACCCTACCAGCCTAGACCACTAGATGGCAGGTTTTACACACATCAACAGAGATTCATCCAGCCTGCCTCCACTCTCTCCAGCGCCACTCCTCTCTACCTTTGATCCCATTGGCTCCTGGAATTACATCACCTCAGCACTAAATGTCATCATATTCACTTAATGTAGCCTAGCCCCCCCTGGACTGTGTAAAATATTAAGCATGAATTCATTCATTGGATATCAACTTCATGATGGGGCGGACTTAGTGATTTGGATGCCTCGTGCAGAGGCCAGTCTGAGTGGCTGAAACAATCCGAGTGAAAGAGCACCTCTCTGTCTCCCTGTATGTAGCCTATATGTATCTGATGCTGTCTAGCATGCCATGACAAATATTTGGCAGGTAGCTTAGTGGTTAAGAGCGCTGTGCCAGTAACCGAAAGGTCGCTGGTTCTAATCCCCGAGCCGACTAGGTGAAAAATCTGTCGATGTGCCCTTAAACAAGGCACTTAACCCTGATTGCTCATGTAGGTTGCTCTGGATAAGAGCGTCTGCTAAATGACTAAAATGTAAATTTACAGTGCCTTGCAAAAGTATTCGTCCCCCCTTGGCGTTTTTCCTATTTTGTTGCATTACAGCCTGTAATTTAAATTGATTTTTATTTGGATTTCATGTAATGGACATACACAAAATAGTCCAAATTGGTGACGTGAAATGAAAAAAACAACTTGTTTCAAAAAATTCAAAAAAATAAATAACGGAAAAGTGATGCGTGCATATGTATTCACCCCCTTTGCTATGAAGCCCCTAATAATAATAATAATAATATGCCATTTAGCAGACGCTTTTATCCAAAGCGACTTACAGTCATGCGTGCATACATTTTTTTTTGTGTATGGGTGGTCCCGGGGATCGAACCCACTACCTTGGCGTTACAAGCGCCGTGCTCTACCAGCTGAGCTACAGAGGACCACAATATGATAGACCCTAAATATGATCTGGTGCAACCAATTACCTTCAGAAGTCACATAATTAGTTAAATAAAGTCCACCTGTCTGCAATCTAAGTGTCACATGATCTGTCACATGATCTCAGTATATATACACCTGTTCTGAAATGCCCCAGAGTCTGCAACACCACTAAGCAAGGGGCACCACCAAGCAAGCGGCACCATGAAGATCAAGGAGCTCTCCAAACAGGTCAGGGACAAAGGTGTGGAGAAGTACAGATCAGGGTTGGGTTATAAAAAAATATCAGAAACTTTGAACATCCCACAGAGCACCATTAAATCCATTATTAAAAAATGGAAAGAATATGGCACCACAACAAACCTGCCAATAGAGGTCCGCCCACCAAAACTCACAGACCAGGCAAGGAGGGCATTAATCAGAAAGGCAACAAAGAGACCAAAGATAACCCTGAAGGAGCTGCAAAGCTCCACAGCAGAGATTGGAGTATCTGTCCATAGGACCACTTTCAGCCGTACACTCCACAGAGCTGGGCTTTATGGTAGAGTGGCCAGAAAAAAGCCATTGCTTAAACAAAAAAATAAGCAAACACGTTTGGTGTTCACCAAAAGGCATGTGGGAGACTCCCCAAACATATGGAAGAAGGTACTCTGGTCAGATGAGACAAAAATTGAGCTTTTTGGAGTTAAGCTCAAGTTTTCAGTTTTGTTGTCTTATTACTTGTTTGCATCTTCAAAGTGGTCGGCATGTTGTGTAAATCAAATGAAACAAACCCCCAAAAATCCCCTTTAATTCCAGGTTGTAAGGCAACAAAATAGGAAAAATGCCAAGGGGGGTGAATACTTTCTCAAGCCGCTGTATATCATTTACATTTTACATTTTAGTCATTTAGCAGACGCTCTTATCCAGAGCGACTTACAGGAGCAATTAGGGTTAAGTGCCTTGCTCAAGGGCACATTTACGTCATTTAGCAGACGCTCTTATCCAGAGCGACTCACAAATTGGTGCATTCACCCTATAGCCAGTGGGATAACCACTTTACAATTTTGGGGGGGGGGTAGAAGGATTACTTTATCCTATCCCAGGTATTCCTTAAAGAGGTGGGGTTTCAAATGTCTCCGGAAGGTGGTGAGTGACTCCGCTGTCCTGGCGTCGTGAGGGAGCTTGTTCCACCATTGGGGTGCCAGAGCAGCGAACAGTTTTGACTGGGCTGAGCGGGAACTATGCTTATATGGATGTGTGTGTGCCGCTGTATGACCAGACAGCATCAGATACATGGGCTATACATACAGTGCATTCGGAAAGTATTCAGACCCCTTGACTTTTTCCACATTTTGTTACGTTTAATTAATTTAATTTAATTTTTGATTAAATTAAAAATGTTCCTCATCAATCTACACACCATACCCCATAATGACAAAGCGAAAACAGGTTTTTAGAAATTTTAGCACATTTATTAAAAAATAAAAAACAGAAATACCTTATTTACCCTTTGCTATGAGACTCGAAATTGAGCTCAGGTGCATCCTGTTTCTATTGATCATCCTTGAGATGCTTCTACAACTTGATTGGAGTCCACCTGTGGTAAATTCAATTGATTGGACATTATTTGGAAAGGCACACACCTACATAAGGTCCCACAATTGACAGTGCATGTCAGAGCAAAAACCAAGCCATGAGGTCGAAGGAATTGGCCGTAGAGCTCCGAGACAATATTGTGTCAAGGCACAGATCTGGAGAAGGGTACCAAAACATTTCTGCGGCATTGAAGGTCCCCAAGAACACAGTGGCCTCCATCATTCTTAAATGGAAGAAGTTTGGAACCACCAAGACTCTTCCTAGAGCTGGCTGCCCGGCCAAACTGAGCAATCGGGGGTGAAGGGCCTTGGTCAGGGAGGTGACCAAAAACCTGATGGTCACTCTGACAAAGCTCCAGAGTTCCTCTGTGGAGATGGGGAGAACCTTCCAGTAGGACAACCATCTCTGCAGCACTCCACCAATCAGGCCTTTATGGTAGAGTGGCCAGACGGACGCCACTCCTCAGTAAAAGGCACATGTACCTATACTTATGTAAATGTAATATTTTCGTTGTTCTATTTTTTTAATACATTTGCTAAAATTGAGAAAAAACTATTTTTGCTTCGTCAGTATGGGGTATTGTGTGTAGATTGATGAGGACATCTTTGTATTTAATCCATTTTAGAATAAGGCTGTAACGTAACAAAATGTGGAAAAGGGGAAGGGGTCTGAATACTTTCCGAAGGCGCTGTACGCGTCCTCTGTATCCATGATGATGGCAGTATTATCAGGATTCATAAACAATTTTGGAAGGCCTTTTTGTTCAACAATGTGGCCTCATTAAGCAGTGCACAGTGGCCAGGCAAAACCCCCTCCCTCCCCATTTCCTTTGGAACTTTGAAGCTTCCTGCAGATTTCGCTGCTTCTCGACCAACCTGCTGACGCAAGACAGAATGAGAGTGATGAGCTGGGCAGCCCACGACAGCGGCTCGTTTGTTGAGCGGGCCTCGAGCGGAAAAATAAAACATGAATATATATATTACTAATATTCTGTATATTTTTTGAGTGCTCAGCTCACAAGGCCCCTTGATGATGTGATAGCCTGAGGCAATTACCTCTTCTGCCTGATGGTAAGTCCGCCACTGGACTAAATCAGTAGCTGGGGCTGTTTGAGGACCTCCAGGGCCTTTTCATATTCCCTTTTCCAGGTTGGATGGCTGGATGGATGAATGGATGGCTGGATGGATGAATGAGGCAACACCTTGTAATATACTGTAGGTCTCAGTCTGTCTGTCTGTCTGTCTGCCTGTCTGCCTGCCTGCCTGTCTGCCTGTCTGCCTGCCTGCCTGCCTGCCTTCCTGTCTGCCTGTCTGCCTGCCTGTATGTCTGCCTGCCTGCCTGCCTGTCTGCCTGCCTGCCTGCCTGCCTGCCTGCCTGTCTGTCTGTCTGTCTGTCTGTCTGCCTGTCTGTCTGCCTGCCTGCCTGCCTGCCTGCCTGCCTGCCTACCTGTCTGCCTGTCTGCCTCCCTGTCTGCCTACCTGTCTGTCTGCCTGTATGGCTACCTGTCTGCCTCCCTGTATGGCTGCCTGTCTGCCTGTCTCCCTGTCTGTCTCCCTGCCTGCCTGCCTGTCTGTTTCCCTGTCTGTCTTCCTGTATGGCTCCCTGTCTGTCTGCCTCCCTGTCTGCCTCCCTGTATGGCTGCCTGCCTGCCTGTCTGTCTCCCTGCCTGCCTGTCTGTCTCCCTGCCTGTCTCCCTGTCTGGCTCCCTTACCTGTCACCATGCCTGCCTACCACCCATGCAGGCAGCAAACTACCCATAAACCACCAGTGTTCTTCTGCATCCCTCTTCTCTTTCCCAATCCTGCTTCGTCTCAGCGGAGCCAAGAGTCCATTTTCACTTGTCTCACACTCTTCCAAACGGTTCCAAGTGCTTCTGCCCCCACACAGCTCTCTCTCTTGCTCTGTAACAGTCTCCCATAGCTGTCAGGCTACTCACAGACCACGGGGAATGGAGCATTTATCTGCTCCAGTTTTTACATTGTATTTATCGTAGAACATTTGTATGATTTACAGCCGTTGTGATGCTATCTTCGTGGGGAGGTTGGGTGCAGAGCAGAGCTGAGGGGGCATATGACTTCTAAGAAAATGAACAGGATGGCTTCGTCCCAAATGGGCCTATCAGGCTCTGGTCTAAAGTAGGGCACTTTATGGGGAAGGAGGTGCGATTTGGGACACAGCCTATAGTTTGAGTGTGTCGTTAACACAGAAGGGGGATCCCAGAGGGAGTAAGGATTCATGGTAGCAGTGGATGGGGCCTGTCCCTAATGGCAACATATTCCCATAGTGCCCTGGTCTAAAGTAGTGCACTATGTAGGGAATAGGGTGCCATTCTCTGGTCTAAAGTAGTGCACTATATAGGGAATAGGGTGCCATTCTCTGGTCTAAAGTAGTGCACTATATAGGGAATAGGGTGCCATTTGGGATGCAGACAATGCAGCTGGCTGCTGGAGCGCCATACGGTGTTGGAAGCGTCGGCATCATTGCTTCGCAACAAGCCAAACAACTGTAATACTCTGTGGTTTATGAACAGGAAAAGATGGTAAAGAGACTGATGTTAAAAGTAAAACGCTGCCACGTCGCTCTCCTCTCTCCTTGCCCACACAAGTATAAAAACAGCCAGCGTTTCACAGAGGGGGTCTTACCTCGTAGGCCTAGAAGCTGGACAAGATTAACAATAGAGCTAGGTACTTCCAAAGTAAACCTTTTGGTGGAGACGATTTCTCGGACATTAAGCCAAGTCCTGGACTTAAAAGTTTAAGTAGAGATTCTCCGATGAGAAACTTTTTAGGCCAGAACTAGACTAAATCTGTGTCCGGGAAACCTCCCCTTTGAGTCTTGATACCACAAATCTAGGATTGTCTTTGGGGCTGTATTATTCAATGCTGAGTGTCTTCTCTAGTCAAAACAGACAGGAAAGAGCAAGGTTGCATCCCAAATGCCACCCTATTCCCTATATAGTGCACTACTTTTGACCAGGGCCAATTAGGACATAGGGTGTCATTTGGAACACACTACGGAGGATAGAGCAAATATTTGTCCCAGAAGTCACGCCAACCCCCTGTATGATGATGGTGTAATTAAAGGGATAGGGTTGTTTTAAGTCAGAGGCTCTACTGGGCCCCGTGGTTAAGCAGTGGTGGTGGGTGGGGGTTGGAGACATGCCCTTTGAGACACTCATCTAGCTAATGAGGGTTTTGTCACAAATAACACCTCAGGTAGAGGTTCCGTGTTGTGGTGAGTGTCTGCTCAAGTCAGGGATGGTTTTGGCCACTGACCAGCCGGGCAAGTAGACTCAATCATACTAGCCCGGTTTCATTCGGGTCCAGAATCTGTGCCATGCATGGAATATTTGACAAGACACAATTTCAGTGGCCTGGTGGGTTTTGTTTGACAGATTTTCTATGAGCTCAGTCTGAAAAGTAATTGTCGTAGTAGAGATACCTGCGTGTGTGTCAGAGGAGGCTGTTGGGAGGAGTTATAGGAGGGTGGGCCCATTGTAATGGCTGGAATGGAATAAATTGCCTGGAAACCACATGTTTGATTCTGTCCCATTTATGCCATTCCAGCCATTACAATAAGCCCATCCTCCTATAGCTCGCCCCACCAGCCTCCTCTAGTGTGTGTGTGTCAACTGGTTTGTTCTGCTTTGTCTGTGAGAAGGAGGCGGAGGTCATGTGATCCAGCCCAGACCAGTGTTTGTTAGGAAAATAGAGGAAGGAAGAAAAAAGGTTGTATTATGTTTTTTTTTTGTTTTTTTGTCATTTAGCAGACACTCTTATCCAGAGCGACTTACAGTTAGTGAGTGCATACATTTTCATACTGGCCCCCCGTGGGAAACGAACCCACAACCCTGGCATTGCAAGCGCCATGCTCTACCAACTGAGCTACAGGGGGACCCTGTTGGAGTGGAGTTGGGGAGTATATCAACATGGATACTACGTCCTAAAAGGTTGTATAATGTTGGAGTGGAGCTGGGGAGTATTACAACACGGATACTACGTCCTAAATGGCTCCCTCGTCCCTATTTAGTAGTGCACTACTTTTGACCAGAGCGCTAAGTAGTGTACTGTAGGGAATATGGAATAGGGTGCCATTTGGCGCGCAGACTGTGAGGGTCAGACTAAGGACAAACCAGACTAAGGATAATTGTTGTTAATTCTCCCAGAGATGTTTAAAGCTGCAATCTGGGATTCGTACATCCATTTTGGGATTTTAAATCAATGATACTGTATTTAGACATCGATTATTGAATCCCAGATTTCCCCTTTAACCAGATCTGAGATCCCACAGGCTTGGAGGGGTAAGGCCAAATCAAACGAGGCACTTCTCCTAGCAGAGCACACACGCACGCACAAACACACGCACACACACACACACACAGACACACACACACAAACACACACACACACACACACACACACACACACACACACACACACACACACACACACACACACACACACACACACACACACACACACACACACACACACACACACACACACACACACACACACACACACACACACACACACACACACACACACACACACACACACACACACACACACACACACACACACACACACACACACACACATTGCATTCCTTAGGGGACCCTAAACCTAAACAACTTTAGTGCATGGTCATTATTGCTCAGAGATTTTTCCACGGGTGCGTCCCAAATGACACCCTATTCCCTACACAGTGCACTACTTTCGACCTGAGCCCTATGACAGTAGTGCACTATGTAGGGAATAGGGTTCTTCTCTGGCACCACTTGACCAGCAGTCCACCTCCCTGCTTTCATTGTAATGCTGATTAGGGAGTTTCAGGTGGTTTTAGTGGAAATGTGGACTTTTAAGACCCAAGAGCAGATTGTAGTGTCCCCTAACTAATGTAATCTACAGCCAACAGCCATGGCTCACGATGCAGAGGGGGACCTACTACACATGTTATTGCGATGTGTGTGAGTGTGTGGATGTGAGTCGTGGTGTGTTGTGGTGTGGTATGTGTGTGTTGGTGTGTGTAGTTGTGTGTGTGGATGTGTGGTGGTACTTGTGTGTTGTGTGTGTGTGTGTGTTGTGTGTGTGGTGTGTGTGGGGTTGTGTGTGTGCTTGTGTGTGTGGTGTGTGTGTGTGTGTGTGTTGTGTGTGTGTGTGTGTGTGTGTGGTGTGTGTGGTTGTGTGTGTGTGTGGTTGTGTGTGTGTGGGTCTGTGGTGTTGTGTCTGTGTGGTGTGTGTGGTCTGTGTGTGTGTGTTGTGTGTGTGTGTGTGGTGTGTGTGTGTGTGGTGTGGTGTTGTGTGTGTGTGTGTGTTGTGTGGTGTGTGTGTGTGTGTGTGTGGTTGTGTGTGTGTGTTGTGTGTGTGTGTTGTGTGTGTGGTGTGTGTGTTTGTTGTGTGTTGTTGTGTGTGTGTGTGTGTGTTGTGTGTGTGTGTGTGGTGTGTGTGTGTTGTGTGTGTGTGTGTGTGTGTGTGTGTGTGTGTGTGTGTGTGTGTGTGTGTGTGTGTGTGTGTGTGTGTGTGTGTGTGTGTGTGTACCTATACTACCTATGTATTAACAGTAGTGCCTGGTCATTGCTGAGAGATTTGACCAACACCCTGAACAGTTGAACACTGGTTGACCCCAGTCATCCTGAACACCTGAACACTGGTTGAACCCAGTCACACTGAACACCTGACCACTGGTTGACTCCAGTCACACTGAACACCTGAACACTGGTTGACCCCAGTCACACTGAACACCTGAACACTGGTTGACCCCAGTCACACTGAACACCTGAACACTGGTTGAACCCAGTCACCCTGAACACTTGACCACTGGTTCACCCCAGTCATCCTGAACATTTGAACACTGGTTCACCCCAGTCTCAACTGTAATTCAGATTAAAATACCTTAAGGTGTTGTTCGTCACAAAATGTAAGTTTTCAAGTTAAGAACAGATTTCCCTGGATTGAACTTTATCCAGTATGTGATAATGAAGAGACTGTCAACAACTATAGAGAATGTACCAGCTAACAACCACTTGACCATGTGTTAACCTTTACCATATAATTACCAAGGTGCTTTTCATGTTAATCTAAGTTGTAAATCCAGATTGCCCTGGCTGCCCACAACTAATCTCCATACATTAAGGATGCAAACACTCTAGCTACTTATCAACACAACATGCATCAACTGAAGGTTTTGGTTGAACTGAAGGTTTTGGTTGAACTGGAGGTTTTGGTTGAACTGGAGGTTTTGGTTGAACTTGAGTTTTTGGTTGAACTGGAGTTTTTGGTTGAACTGGATGTTTTGGTTGAACTGGAGGTTTTGGTTTAACTGGACTGGAGGTTTTGTGTGCGTCCCAAATGGCTGTTGATGTGGATGCTTTATGTTTAAAGCCAAAATACATTCTTAGTAACATTTGTTGCATTTGATTACAGTGCACTACTTTAGACCAGGACCCATAGGGCTCACAGGGACCCACAGGGCTCACAGGGACCCTCACAGGGACCCATAGGGCTCACAGGGACCCATAGGGCTCACAGGGACCCACAGGGCTCACAGGGACCCATAGGGCTCACAGGGACCCACAGGGCTCACAGGGACCCTCACAGGGACCCATAGGGCTCACAGGGACCCTCACAGGGACCCATAGGGCTCACAGGGACCCACAGGGCTCACAGGGACCCACAGGGCTCACAGGGACCCTCACAGGGACCCTCACAGGGACCCTCACAGGGACCCATAGGGCTCACAGGGACCCACAGGGCTCACAGGGACCCACAGGGCTCACAGGGACCCACAGGGACCCACAGGGACCCTCACAGGGACCCATAGGGCTCACAGGACCCATAGGGCTCACAGGGACCCATAGGGCTCACAGGGACCCACAGGGCTCACAGGGACCCTCACAGGGACCCATAGGGCTCACAGGGACCCACAGGGCTCACAGGGACCCTCACAGGGACCCACAGGGCTCACAGGGACCCACAGGGCTCACAGGGACCCTCACAGGGACCCACAGGGCTCACAGGGACCCTCACAGGGACCCACAGGGCTCACAGGGACCCTCACAGGGACCCATAGGGCTCACAGGGACCCATAGGGCTCACAAGGACCCACAGGGACCCACAGGGACCCACAGGGACCCATAGGGCTCACAGGGACCCATAGGGCTCACAGGGACCCACAGGGACCCACAGGGACCCATAGGGCTCTGGTAAAAAGTAATGCACTATATAGTGAATAGGGTGCCATTTGGGACACAATGTTTCTCATCACCCCTCCAATCACATGGTAATAATGTTCCCCATACAGGCAGCAGCATTATGCTGATGGGGCTTACTATGGTCATGAGGTGTGAAGCCAAGGCTTTGTTGTTTCCCAGCTAGCTACCAGGATGGATAGGCTATGTGAGGCCAAGGCTTTGTTGTTTCCCAGCTAGCTACCAGGATGGATAGGCTATGTGAGGCCAAGGCTTTGTTGTTTCCCAGCTAGCTACCAGGATGGATAGGCTATGTGAGGCCAAGGCTTTGTTCTTTCCCAGCTAGCTACCAGGATGGATAGGCTATGTGAAGCCAAGGCTTTGTTGTTTCCCAGCTAGCTACCAGGATGGATAGGCTATGTGAGGCCAAGGCTTTGTTCTTTCCCAGCTAGCTACCAGGATGGATAGGCTATGTGAGGCCAAGGCTTTGTTGTTTCCCAGCTAGCTACCAGGATGGATAGGCTATGTGAAGCCAAGGCTTTGTTCTTTCCCAGCTAGTTTCCAGGATGGATAGGCTATGTGAAGCCAAGGCTTTGTTCTTTCCCAGCTAGCTTCCAGGATGGATAGGCTATGTGAAGCCAAGGCTTTGTTCTTTCCCAGCTAGCTACCAGGATGGATAGGCTATGTGAAGCCAAGGCTTTGTTGTTTCCCAGCTAGCTACCAGGATGGATAGGCTATGTGAAGCCAAGGCTTTGTTATTTCCCAGCTAGCTTCCAGGATGGATAGGCTATGTGAAGCCAAGGCTTTGTTATTTCCCAGCTAGCTTCCAGGACGGATAGGCTATGTGAAGCCAAGGCTTTGTTGTTTCCCAGCTAGCTTCCAGGATGGATAGGCTATGTGAAGCCAAGGCTTTGTTATTTCCCAGCTAGCTTCCAGGACGGATAGGCTATGTGAAGCCAATGCTTTGATGTTTCCCAGCTAGCTTCCAGGATGGATAGGCTATGTGAAGCCAAGGCTTTGTTGTTTCCCAGCTAGCTTCCAGGACGGATAGGCTATGTGAGGCCAAGGCTTTGTTGTTTCCCAGCTAGCTTCCAGGACGGATAGGCTATGTGAGGCCAAGGCTTTGTTCTTTCCCAGCTAGCTACCAGGATGGATAGGCTATGTGAGGCCAAGGCTTTGTTCTTTCCCAGCTAGCTTCCAGGATGGATAGGCTATGTGAAGCCAAGGCTTTGTTATTTCCCAGCTAGCTTCCAGGATGGATAGGCTATGTGAAGCCAAGGCTTTGTTATTTCCCAGCTAGCTTCCAGGACGGATAGGCTATGTGAGAATGTGCACACCAGGGGCAGCATCCCAAATGGAACCATGTCCCGTATATAGTGCACTACTTTTGACCACAGCCCTATGGGCCCTGGTCAAAAGTAGTGCACTACAGTACATAGGGAATAGGGTGCCAAAAGTAGTGCACTACAGTACATAGGGAATAGGGTGCCATTTGGGAATCAGCCCAGGTAAACCAAAGAAAGAAGACGTGTAGGCGGCCGGTACGTTGCAATAAACTTTAGTGAACTATTAACATAATATATTTATAAAAATATACATATGGGAGCAGTCAGCATAGTAAATCAGGATGCACAACTGCAACGCGTTCCGACTACTAGAGTCTTCCTCAGGCAGTGTTGACGCAGGCCAGATCAATGAACACTGCTAAGTGCCATGCAGCTAATCTGTGAATGAATGGTATTATGGATACCAGGCCGACCGCGGGGCTATAAGTACATAGTCCAAGTATGTCTTAACTCTCTGACTCAGGGACAGAGGTATCATGTCTTTACTCCCTGACTCAGGGGAAGGGAAATGACCCCTTTTTTGGACAAAAATGAATTGCAATATATTGGCATTGGGCGAAACATGCACCCAAATTAAATGTTTACTCAAATGGACGGCAAATCGTGTAAAACATGTTGCAAATGGCATACAGCAAATGCCAAGTGTAGTAACTCAAAAATCCTCAGGATGGCAAGCTCGATCAACCGTAACAAAGCATATTGCAAATGTATACCCAAGTCAAATCTCGAGGGTGAAATGACCAACTATAAAAACTCCGTCAAAAGTGCGATTTGTCTCAATTATACATTACTAAAGAACCGTATGGATATAGATTTATTTTATTTTATGTGAGTTTGTCCATTAGGCCTATGGAATGTCCATATCAGGCATGTTACACTGCAAATGGATAAATGTTCCATTTGTTACACATTATACTGCAAATGGCCAAAGTGTCCACTTGTCACCTCTGATCATAGGAAGTCGGGTTCCGAACCCAAAAGTCACAGAACCTTGTCCAAATGGCACATGAAATGTACAAATGTCATGTACAAATGTCACCTTTGGACTCCAAAGGTTAACAACCTCCTCCTCTCCTGTCGTTGTACTGTACGACCGACACAGCACTTTTAGTACTCTCTGGTTCCTGCCAACATCAGAGCCCAGCTGCCTCCTGTCACACAGAACCAAGAGCCAAGCACATGGCCTTGCCCTCTCTCTGCCCACCCCACCCTGTCCAGCCCCCTGCCCTGCCCACATTCTGCAGCCAACCGTAGAACAGCAGCGCTAACCCCAGACGTCCAGAAGGTCAGTCAGCCGTACAGCTGTCTGAGCCAAGCTGCCATCCAGTGGCAGACATACCATTAGGCAGAAGAGGCAGATGTGTGAACCTCCAGCAAAGAGCCTCCAAAAAAAAAAAAGTTAATGAATCCATACAGCTGAATAATAATTCAGAATATATTAATAATTGATTTCCATACATATGTTCATATCAATGTTAATATAATCCAGGTTTTTTCTCATAATAGCCGCATATTTAATGGCATGGATGACTCGTATGCAGTGTAATGACATGAATGAATGATTGATTATATTGAAGTAGACTGTTATGTTAAGACACATCAAACAGGACATGCTCTCACAGCTCCATGGTGGATAGATTATAGAAGGCAATAGAAACATAATACTATTGATTAAGGCTACATTATAGCATGCTAAATGTTTCTGATCAGTGATAGATGAACATCTTGATTAAGGCTACATTATAGCATGCTAAATGTTTCTGATCAGTGATAGATGAACATCTTGATTTAGGCTACATTGTAGCATGCTAAATGTTTCTTGATCAGTGATAGATGAGTAAAATAATCAATGAGGTACCACCTCCACTTGCCCAGCCAGAGATCAATTAACCAAATATACAATACAGATGTAGATTCAGTCAAACAAAATCACATTGATTGATTATCAGAACAGTCACAGGCTTTTGGACGGGAGTGGGACAGGCTAATACGCGAGTGAAGAGCAACATCCACTCGTTAAGCTACATAATAATAATAATAATAATATGCCATTTAGCAGACGCTTTTATCCAAAGCGACTTACAGTCATGTGCGCATACATTTTTACTTATGGGTGGTCCCGGGGATCGAACCCACTACCCTGGCGTTACGAGGCGCCATGCTCTACCAGCTGAGCTACAGAGGACCACATAACATGCTGGCAAAATGTTCTGATCATTAATATATGAGCAAACTAGAATGAAGATGACCATGTGCACTCACCTCAACTTAGCTAACATTTCACCAGCCTAATGGTTACCAAATGTCAAAAACAGAGATTCAGTCAAAACAAAAAATATGACATTGATTGATTTAACAAGACGAGTCCCCCCCGCTCTTATCGCAAAGCAGCGTGATGGCACTGTCCCAATCATAATGGAGTTGAACCGATCATCTAGGTGACAACACATGACTGTTGCTTTCCATTAGTATAACTGTTGGATATGACTGGGAGTTTCAGTATAAGCCAGAATTTGATACATGCATTCAATTGCATTAGCCTACTTTATTCCAATATTTCCGTGATTCAGTTGATCATAACTACG